AGAGAGAGAGAGAGAGAGAGAGAGAAGAGAGATAAACAAGAAGTAGGGGGAAGTCCATATACTTCCCCAAATTACATCTTCAGTTTTCTATAAATGAGAAGCTTGGAAAATTCAGACAACTGATAGTCCCTACTAAAAGGAAATGTACCCTTAACACCTGCTTGAGACATCTGTGGAACTTTGTGAGAGAACATTTTCAAAATGAGCCCAAAATATAGGCAATGTGTATGGTCCTCACCTGAATATGAAGCCCAGGGTCCCAGGCTGTGAAGAGAGCCCTGGTTAAAGACCTCTGTTTCCATGAGGATCTATCGGGGGAGGAGTGTTTTATTTCTCATCTCTATACCAGTGCCTAGTATCTGAATATGCATCCACGGAAACATAATTCAACTTCTTGATTTTCCAGACCTGCAGATAATTGGTTCCACAGAGTCACAAAGACTCACGCTCTCAACGCTGACATCAGAAACACTGCTTAGCTGTAATCAGAGGATCAGTTCCCTTTGAAGTCAGAAAAATGTAGTGTTTGAGAATAGGAGGTGGTAGTGGGGTTGGACAGAACATCATTTCTGAACTTAAAAAAAGTCATAATTACAGTGGAATTTTTTTAAGGTAAAGCAAATACACCATAGCAGAAGCACACCCCAGTTCTTCACCCTCTCACTGACTTGTACTTTAGGAATGTCTCATGTAATTTGCATATTGAGGAGTACATTAAAATTTACTGGAGAGCAAAACAAACCATTTTTCTAGTTTCATAAATTATTCTCACCCTCATTGTGGGGTATATGATAAACAGCTAAGTGAGGACAGAGATGGCCGTGTGGATAAAGCCACAGACAGGATATTGGAGGAAGTGTTACAACCTGCATCCTGATGCTGACTTGCTTTGGGTTTCTATGAAGTCATGACTGCCTTGACCTTGGTTGTGTTATTTGTAAGATACCAAATACACACAGCCCAGAGTTGCAGATAGTATTACTATAATGAAGTTTTTAAAATGTGGAGTCTTTAAAAATGACAGTAGATGTCTTGAATTTGTTTGCATAGCATAGCTGGGGAGAAGAGTATCATGACTAATATTAGGTAACAGTTTATACCTCTTTTCTGAACTTGTCTTTTAGTATATGTGCTGCTGAAGTGAGCACTCTGACCTTGCCTTTTATCATAGCTTTGGAGTCAAAATGATTCCACCAATCTTAATTACATTTCAGTTATGCTAAATGACTGGCTGTATCCAAGGATGAGTCAGAGCGGAATAGTTACACAACCAGTCACAATCATCTCAGACAGAGGCCCTGTCTCTTAGACTTGTGAAAATCATTCTTTTATCTTGACTTGAATTCCACTTCTCAACTATGTTCCCCTGTTGTTCAGCTGCCCTGAGTTTTAGATTATTTTGTTATAATTATCTTGTTTTTGGCATTTGATAATAATATGATTATCTTATTAGCCTGAAATCTTGTTTTTGGCATTTTCCCCATACTTAAGAAATTTAGATATAAAAAAGCAGTTTGAAAATCTTCTCTAAAACAGGTTGTTCTAGATGACGAATCTATAACATCCTCAAGGATATCTGTGATCTAAGTGTTAGAGAAAATTCAGACAAAGGGAGAGCAAAAGGTTAGTTTACCTGTTCTAGTGAGGAAAAGGCCAGAGCAATTGCTCCCTAAGTCCTGTGTAGTATTTCTACATTATATTACAGCTTCAGTTATGTTTCCTTCTCTTCTCTTCACTGACTCCCCCATCATATCAGTTAGTTCTCACGCACACTATTTCTTGCATTGTAGTCAAAATATCTGTGTATATTTCTTCCATTCATTCATTCACTTTGTATTTATTGGGCACCGACCATGTGCTAAGCAGTGTGCGGAGAGCCAGGAATACGCAAGAGGAGCAGATGCTCCTGGTACCTAGTCAGCCATTTTCTTGTGAGCAGTGACTGTGCATATGCATGCTCATGATGTTTGGTGCAAGCTCCAGCAACTCCCAGCCTTTGAGTACTCAAAGTAAGCAGAGTTGCCAAGGTGTCAGTGCCCCGGCGGGCAGCCTTCACTCAATTTTAGTGGATAAATAACTCAGCTTCCACCCTCACTCAGTACTCTCCTTCATCCAATGATGGGCAATTTTGTAGTTAAGTAACCCAGCTCTCTCACTCCTCTGGTGAAATAATCCCAACACATGCTTTCCCAGAGGATCCTAATGGGACTTAGCCTGCAACTATTCCCTATAATAGTTACTGGGCAATTTAGGAGGTGATGGGTAGATGATGCATTCCACTGACTGACTGACTGATACTGGAGATTGAGCCCAAGTAACACTGAGCCATATCCCACGCTTGTTTTACTTTTTGACTTTGAGACAAGCTTCCATATCATGTTTGCCCAGTCTGGCCTCAGATTTATGATCCTACTGCCTCCGCCTCCCAAGTAGCTAGGATTATAGGCCTGGACTGCCACACTGGCTATATGATGCCTTCTTTATTGGTACCTTGGCCCTTTCTGCCTTGCTTCCCTACTCCCTTAGCTGTGCTTCCTGGGATCACCTCCTAATAAACTACTTGTTCTCAAATCCTTATCTCAGGGACATTATCTGGGGCAATCTTAGCCAAGAGGTGACTGTTGAAGTCTTGGTTTCTATTCTCATATAATTTATTCATTAGTGGAAGATTTAGGTAAAACCATGAGTAATTAAAATGCATTATGATAAGCATTTAATTATATATTCTCAAATGAATTCTAATAAAACTAAGCAATATCATTTCCATTTTACATATGCGGAAACAAAGGCTTAGAGAAGTTAAGCAGTGGCCCAGGATCAACACAAACTAAGAGCTACTGGCGATTTAAATTCAGTTCTGTAAGATTTCAGAGTCAGGACACTGCCACTGGGTTACCTGCCTCTCTTAGTTCTTCCTCCTCCATTGGTGAATGATTTCAGAACTGTTTGACTTATTAAAAAAACCTCAACAGGCATTGAAGTCATGGACCAAACATGGCCCACGTGTCTAATTAATGGTTACAGTTGATCACATATTGTAATATTTGGAGCAAGGAGTACTGAGGTGTTGTGAGGTACCCTCAACCTTTTGAATCAGCTTGTTACTTATAGTAAATTCCCTTCTTCAAATGCTAGCCAGATCCTAGGAACACATGAGTTATTTCTTGTACCAGAGCGAGCGGGCTCTGGCATCTTAGGTAACAGCAGCTGCTACAACTGTCTACTCACAAGTGGTCAGGGTCCCCAGGCTCTGCAGCTCACTGTTGTAAAACAGGGATGGGGGTGGGGCTTTTTTGCCTTCACTTACCATAATGACAGCAGCTCAGCAAAGGTAGCTAATTGCTTCATACTCCAAATGACCCTTTGTCTGTTTAAAGTCACTGGGGCACAATTCCCACAGGAAGCCAGAGAGGCAGCTTATTATGGAGAGCTGGTGTCCTGGGGAAACAGCACTAGGCACCTGGGGAGACGTGGGAGGACTCATGGATAATGGCCCACCTGGCCAGTGCTGAGCACAGATGCCAATCACCATCAGGACTTAACACCAGCAATCTTTAAAATTTCTTTATCCTGCTCCTCCTTCTCCCAGATTAAAACAAAGCAAGTAAACACTATATAGTTACAAACAAAGTCATGGTAAATTACTTCATTCTGTTCTACCAGTTTCTGTGATTAGGAAACCTAGATTTGAACTTCTATGCCTCCAGTCTCTGATGCACAAGTTTTAGGTCCTGTATTTCTTAGCCTTTGCTTCCCTACCCATTAGGTGGGGTGTTTTACATAAGGTCTTGCACATAATGAGGCATACCTGGGATTTCTATCCCATGTCTTTGTCAATATCAAAACATATATTGCTTACTTTTAGAAAAGGACTTGGCACAACATAGAAACTTAATAAGGTTAGCTCCAGGATGCTTCACAGCTGCCATAATGAAATTATGAAGATGATATTAAGTATCTGCTCATTGCTTGTTGTCTTAGTTATTTTTCTCTCATTGCTGAAACAAAATACCCAATGCCCACAATTAAGGAAGGAAAGGTTTATTTAGCTTACAGTTTGTGGAGGTTTCAGTCTATAATCAGCTGGCTCCAAGGTAGGGTGGCAGGGCACAGGGGCAACATTTCAAGGGGACATAAGACAGCAAAAATAGCAGGAACAAAAGAAGGAAAAGCAAGCCTCTTTTCTCACCTTATATTGTATATCAGCTATCCACCCATGCCCAC